ACTGACATCAAAGTCGTAGAGGATGACATTTTTGTCATAAGAGCCAGAGATCACCACAGAGCCGTAGATAAGGAGACAAGTGACCCCATCTTCGTGACCACGTAGGCAGCCAACTGGTGTGTTTGTGTCAGCACGCCATACCTAGGTGGAGAAGAAGCAAAATAATCTCTACAACTCCTCCATATGAGGAAAGATAGGACACGTATCAGACATACACTGATTAAAAGCTGGCGATTTGTACTATGCTTATCGGAAAAGTAAGGCTTGAACAGGTGAACAGGAGCCTCTTTGACCATATTCGTCTGTGTTCCTAACTCTCATTTAAGTAGATCCCGTTGCTTTTGTAACTATGCGTCCATTATGCTAGTACTGTGTTCAGTTACAAAAGTTGATTTCCCTTCCGCTTTGGGTGTGCGCGGTTGTGGAAACAGCGCTACACCCTCCATAAATACTCGTGGCCAAAAGTAACAAAATAATCTATTTGCCGGAAAAAAGGTAGTCTTCTGATACGTCCAGAGATGTTGAAGTACTACTGCTGTCGCCCAAAGAACAAGTGTAGAAAGATGCATGTGCGTTGTAACTACCTCTGTTGGATGTATCACTGGTTGGTTTTAGGAAGGTATGAAATGTGAGACTTTCGGTAAGGTTCCATGGAAGGAGTGCCCCTCTACTTATTGCCCGACGTTTTAGAAAAGGAGGACAGTCTTTCTGATGGACCTTCGAGTAGATTGACCAGAGCCGTAATCAGCGTGTACCATTTGGTAAGAGAATAAGCGAGGCTGAATTTCGCTTCACAGAACCCTCAAGATTGTAGAGGATTTCCATGAATGAAGCAACGACCCTCTGAAGCGAGATTTAAATAGTAAGCAGATGATTTCGAGGAAATGAGTTGAGGATGTGATACCGCAATACAGGAAGCAACATGGAGAAGTCTATCTACAGATGCAATAGATACCGTGACCTTAGAAAGAAACAGATCGTCAATCTTTCATAGAAGCCATTATCCATGCCCACCACAACCCACCAAAGAGGTTCTTTCATTATCACAGCACCCATTGAACCCAAATATATTTTAAAAAATATTAAAGGCCTGATGACGCATTATTTTATCAAATTTTAAATAAATGAAAAAGCATCAACGAGTCACCAACTAGTGAAAATAAATATGGCAACCAAATCAAGTGACTAACAACGCACAAGAAACACCCAGTCATTGATAAGGCCAAAATTTACCTTGATGGTCTGGTCGTCGCAACCACATAGCAGATGCCATCCGTCTCCTGCCAAACATCGAATTACTGCACCTGTTGCTTGTGAGTTGGCGGCTTCAACATAGAGTTGTTCTACCAATTCAGGACGAGCCAAACTCGTTGCCTTTGATGATTCGTCTTTGATGCCAGATTGAAGAGATGGGGGGGAGGAGGGAATATGCCACACGCATATGCGCCCATCATGATGCGCCACGAAAAGGCGTCGACGCTGGATGTCCAAATGGAGACTGGTGACGGGAGTGGTCCAGAACTCGGCTCCTGGACGTGTGCCAGGTCGTACAAGGGTGTAGTAACAGACGGAAGTGTTTAGGCTCCAGATCTGTGGTAAAGACGGATGATATGCCTTAATCACACTGAGTGGAATCTGCTAGAAATGTGTTCACCAAGATGCAAGTGGAGAAAATATCTTTTGTGGTGTCTATGATCATAGCACTAAGAACAGAGTCCGCCCAACCGACAGAGGGAGAAACAACCGGAGCTTTGGATACGAATCTCCATATCGTTACAGACTCATGGATTCTAACCTTCCCCATTAACGATGCCTAATGCCAACACAAAGTTCTTGTCATGCCACCTAGACTTTCGTCCTCTTAATCCTTCTGGATACCAATTTACAACCACTCATCTAAACCGGTATCCAGAGTCTTTTTTGAATGCCAAATTACTCTAGCAAAAGGAAATACAATGAATGCACTTCAAAATTTAATGTTTTATCAATGTCAAAACAGATTATCACAACTCAGCATTTCAAGAGCACCGCTTTGGTCCATAACAAACAAATTACCTAACGCTTCAGACCAAACAGCAGGTCTTATGGTCAATGAACCTTTAATTAAAGAATTCTCAAAAGCATAACTCCTACATAGCAATCATGGAGGTCAGCTTATGTAAGAAATCGGATCGAGACTTAAGTTACCCGAACGGTGTTATCAAGAGACCCAGAGTAGAGAAGAGAATCGTCATAGGTGAGGCAGACAACACCGCCTGTGTGGCCCCTAAAACACCAAAAAGGAAGAATCCGTACATGCACACTACTAATTTGTTCAGAAAATCTTTGCAATTCCCAAAAAAAGGGAGAAATTTCTCCCATAACTGAGCAACTGGCAGTGCTTCTTACCAGAGCAAACAAGTAGTTTCCGTTACCTAATCCCCCCCTAGGGGAAATTAGTCATGGGGCAAAAGCCAGCATTTTTAATCACCAATACCACTTAGAGTTGGTGAATTGTGAGCTTTCTAGCCACCGTTATCTGGGCTTCTATCAAACACTATGAGTTTTCAGTTTCATCTGAAGCCTGCCAGTTTCATCGCCCTTCAATAACAAATATTCGTTGTGGCTACAGTTCACTATGACGTCAGCTAAGGGCGGAGCGCTGCAGCCTTGTCCAAATCATAAACACACTTATCGACAAGATTAGAAACGCTCATTGTCACCATCACATATAGAGAAGTATCAGTTGTTTAGGGGAGAGGAGAGAGCTTGTACCCTGTTTTTAGACAAAGAACATGATTTACTTAATTGAAAGGCTAGTTTAACACAAAAAAATCTGTAGGCTGGCTCAAATGGGTACCTGAGCCAATTTTTGGGTACGCTAATGTAGCTATTATGTCACTTTACCCACAAACCCTCAAATGTATTGATTCGACACCACTAGCTAGTCAGCAGAAAACCAAAGCAAATGTTAAAGCCAAGAAATGGCATCCCCACTATCACATCAAGGATATTAGAACTGCTAACAAAGATCTTACCGAAAAATCACCTTTTGCCTACTAGAAGCCAGATCCCACAGTCGAATTGTACAGTCGTATGAGCCGCTAACAGCCTTCTTTGAATCAGCCTATGGAATGAGGAAAATGTCAACGATTAATATGTCCGAGGTTGCTAAGATTGATAAACGTATCTTTTACCATTGACTCTGCGTTACTTAACTCGCTTAACTCTATCAATGAATCCCAACATAACAGTTCAGTTAGTTCAAAGCAGTGGGTAAAATTAAAGACTTCATATGTGCTGAATGTGAATCTCAAGTTTCACTATCTCATCACACACATAAACCACCTTCGTTACAAAAGGTTAAAAAGTCGCCATGACACAAAACACATACAGTAAATGGAAAAAAGAAAGATGAGTGGGAATTTGTTTCAGTGTTTCTCAAGTAGGCCTTAGATGGATCCGATCAATTTGCAAAATTCACCGATGCAGCCCATCAAGTTTACCTTGAAATCGTAGGGGTGAAGAGCTGAGGAAACATAGGCTTGACCGAGGATCCATGTCATTCGTTTTCACCACACTCTTCCATATTAGGAAACTTAATGCCTAGAGGGCCGAGGATATACCATGTGCGGTTTTCAGTATAACCCACTGAAACAACTAGGAAAAGGAGGCGTAAAACACATTCAGGTATCCTGACACGCATCAGCACACAGATATTCTTCATCGCATCCTATACTACCATCCTACAACTTTGAGTCGCCTCGCCTTTATCACAATAAATCACTTAAACCTGGCGTATGTGATTCATGGTTGCTTGTTCCGTGAATCCGCACAAATTCGATTACAAAAATGAAGGAGCCTCCATCAAAATGTGGGTAGTATTCAATAATAATGTGTGGTAATTCATCACCTTAACAGCTTATGCGCTTCCATCAATGGAAAATAAATTAATTTTGGCGGTGACAGGTGCAACGCAACCATCGCACGAATGAACAACTCAGTGGTCGTCGCTGAACAGTCAACTCACTACTCACCCTACACATCTCAGACATGCCTTTTAAATCTGTTCAATAGGAAATTTTTTAGGACTCGGAAAAGAAAGCCCTGATCCCATTCTTAAGCAATGCAATACAACACGCGACACCCAACACTTCGTGTCGCCCGAAAACTACCCTGTCGGAAGATGTGAACTTTTGGTTATAACGGGGTGGAAAAGGAGGAGGGGTCCACTCCGGGGAACATATTTTAATAGTACCAGCTCTTTGGGATATCACTTCAGGCAGCCATACTTTGAACAGCATCAGAAAATGAAGAAGACATTTAGGTAGTGAAATCGACGCAAATAACCTGGTGATGTCAACGGCGATATAGCAATAACAACCTACCCAGTTGGGTATCAGACGATAGAATAGTAGAGCGAGAATGATCGATGAAACGTACAGAAGCATGTTTTACAGGAACAAAGCACTGTCCTCCCCATGCCATCAAATGCAAAGATCAAGAGAAAACTTTGAACTTTTGCAAACACACAACTGAATGGGTGATATTATTCAAAGCATCAGTTTGACTTTCCACCTTCACTCTTAATTGGGATAAGGGGTTAAATGAGTTCTTCGAAGTAAGTGAAAACATAATGGAAAGCGTCAAGCACTGTTAATAAAAAAAACAAGTTTCAGCGAGTATAGTGCAAAATGAAATACGATATTTATGCGATCCTAAATATTAAGCACAACAAGGAATGCAACTTGGTGTAAAATTAAGAAAATTTGCTTGAAAATTGAAAAGCTTCAAAATCAGTAATAATGAAGCTGATATGAAGGTAGAAAACCCATTTAACATCTGCTAATACTAGCTACTTGTCGGAGATCACAATAGGCGACGTCCGCTTGCGTGCCATTCGTCGTGTATTATTCTAAATAATCGTTCGATCTTTACAATTGTGGCCTTCTGCAGACCTTCATAATTTTTACATGATGAAATTAAAACAATTAGGATGAACGAGACAGCAAGTAGAAGGCTCCACTAATTCATCCCCTTCCCAGCAAATAATCACAACTGAATGCCTTATGAAGCCGCTCCATATACACACACACACGCACCGATACTCACTTCACCGTTTGAGATGGGGTAAACAGACAGGTGAAGCAGTAATGTCACCCAATTTGCGCAGTTGCCTTGGCTCAACGGTGTGGGTGCAACAGGGTCCACTGTCCCATGAGATGAAAGGGAGAGACTGACAGGAAATGGTGTTGAGATGGAAAATTAGCAAGCTTGCAGCCCATTGGGTGGAAACCCCATTTTGCGACGGCGTCGAGTTTGAAAATGCTTCAAAAATTAATTTTAAGGAGAACCCAATATGTTCAACCATTCCATGTGCTCAATTAAGAATGGAAAAACTTGTTCACATGAAACCGCTTTATTAAAAAGTTTATGTACTCAACTCCTTTCCTGATGTGACAATAGTTGAATCGCCTGATTGACGTTTGAACCATATTCTCGCTTAATCCACCTGTGCAAAATCAATGGCGTCAGGAAAAGTGGAAAGATGAAGTGATCCTATGTTCCTTCCCATTTCACTGAACCTCAAAATTTGTATTTCCAAGAAACGATGGTAGGACATGAGGATGTGCTACGTGTTGCACAAGGTTAGGTACCAATCTTTTGACTAAACAAACTATGGTATTGGCTGTCATAACTTCCCGAAAACAGATAAATTACCATCGCAACGGTTCAAAGGACACCAAGTTGCGTGCATTACCCCCGCCACACCTATCAAGCTTTCAGTAGGCGATTGATTGTCTGCAATCCGCACTTATGTGCACTGAATAAAGCCATTTTCTTCCAGAGATGAAGTGATGCACGTATTCGAGTAGTGACCCAACCAGTCAAAGGAGATCGATGATTGGCTTGTTCACGTGACGTCGCAATACAAATTCCATTTCATGCCGCAAGTTTGGTGGTTTAAATTCAGATGGCATGACAAAGAACACCCACGTGTCTAGACCCAATTCTACTTCCGTATCAAATGTAAACGGCAATAAATGATTCATCACCCTTGTCAGACGGTACGAGCATTCATTCACCTTAAAATATTTATACTGTGACAGATGACGCTGCACTACTGTAGTTGTTAGTAGAAGTCGTTCCGTATAAATTGCAACAGTAGCTGCCCATTCGTCATCAGAACCACACAGGTTGTTTATTCAAAACTTATAGTGCGTGCGTTAAGATGGAAGCCCTTGCAGTCGTGAATCCAAATCCAACTGCAATAATAAGGTAGATAATCTAAGACCAAACGTACGCGAAAAATAGGATAATTCCGCGTCAAGTGTAAGGAATCGCCGAGTAACACTGGGAGTGTTACCGAATGCGGTGAAAAGCATCAAAGGACGGACTAACGTCCAGGCTTTGTAATGCATGCTTCACAAGTCCCCTTCCTGCAATTTCCAACTAATCGTCTTAGTAAGGTATACTGGAGTCCGCACTAACCTCTTGAATTAGCTAATACAATCATGCCTCTTAAGGCTCTAATGCTTAGATGTAGGAGACGTGTGAGGAGGCTTCATGCCCAGAAGGGGCCAAGAGGAATGCAGAAAAAGAAAATTACTAAAAAATCATAAGTCGCGATGTTAGCTGAAGTACCTTATGAAAGGTTCATAAAAACTCATCTTTTATTAGGTGCCGAGGTCGCCATGACCACGCGCGTATCAATGAAGCGATGTGATTTGATTTGGCCGTCTTCACTAATCAGAATGCACCTAAGGACAAGTCTACAGCTTCGCAATCCTTGTTTGAGCCTAAAATCGTCCATCATTTTCAGCATAGTTTATTGCGATTTCAGGCAAGAAGTGAGATGTTGCACTGATAAAATCTACAGGCAAACCCGACTCAACGACTAAGATTGTTTGCGTTGCGACTTATTCAATCGATACGGAGGGAGGGGAAACCACTGTGGGAGGATTAAGGAGACCTCTTCTAGCCGATTCCAGATTCAAATCCCACACGATTAACCCACGATGAAATTGACACGTTTTAACGAACCTTTATGGATTGTAAAGGGGATTGAAAGTAGTTGCTCTAGCAAAGGACTTCAGGGAACAGTTTTAAGAAATTTTTTCAGTCCTCATAGTGCATAAATAGAAGGGTAGGTAGATAAAACAATGTGAAAAAATTAACCCAAAACCTTTTCCCAGCGCACTTCACCAAACAGAAAATGTGAATCATAAATTAAATGCCAGGAGTAGAACACGATACAATCAATTGGTGATAGCTTAAAATACGATTGACGCAATAGGGCTTTTCATCGTGTTCCGCTTTTGTTTGCTGTCCGTAAAAGGACACATTAAGGTCAACGCAGAACAATCACTGAGGGAACTGAAAACGGGAGCAATATGGCAGCGATGAAGCCGTTATCCATTCGCATCGAAATGTAACAAAACAACACTACTATCGCCAAACCCCTCTTCTCTTTAACTCACACTGGATACAATAAAATGAACGATGACGGTTCGCCAGGTATTATGAAAACAAGCTCACTGAGTTCGGATGTCGTCGTTCCCAGAACAAATATCGAACTTTAACATAGAAATGGGGGGACGAGAGGTAAAGGAGTTACCTGAACGCATCGAACGGTATCAAAGTGCCCCTGCAATGTGCCAATGCAAGTAATCCTCGACCATTCAAAAGTGGAGGAGAGACGCCACAGTTTGAGACTTGTATCGACTGAACCCGAGATGAGTAACGCCTCTGGCGGCTCCCACACGCTTGGAGAAGGCGTAGTCACGGTAGGGGAGGTAGAAGAAGCAAGAGCAGGAGGTAAGGGCAACAGTTCCAAGCATCTAACCGCGCCCGAGTGACCCCGCAGCGTCTGCGCTAGCCAATTCGCGTTGGAGCAGACTTTCCACACACAGATGGTGGAGTCAGCGGAGCCACTAACGATACGATAGGCGTCGTAAGCCAGACAATGAACGGCTGTAAGGTGTAACAAATGGAATAACAGAGTAAACTCAAGAGTGAAGAGATTAATTTTAATAATACAATAATACTCTGAGCACTTGAACGAATTAATACGAAGCACAAGACACTTAGAAACACCGAATAGGATGTTCTGCCACTAAAGGACGACGCAGCATCTGAATACAATATTTCACTACGTACTGTAAGCAAAAAGAGTTTTGACTTCAACTAAAGATATTCGCGAAAAGTTATTGGCACACAAGAAGCACTAACAGTAAACCGGGAGATACCTTTAAGCTACGCCGGCAAGTTCGTTTGTTATAGTATAACCCTAAAAAATTCATTTCTACAAAAGTACCATTCTCAACCGACGACAACAAGAAAAGCGGATAATAATGTTCGAGACAAAAAGACGACCATATGATGACAACTGGTATTCAACCACAGCTATTGCGATTCGGCCCTTTCGGATTCTCCCAGATACGACGCAATTTCTACTGAAAAGGAGTTCTTATACTACATCTTTACCCTCTACCAAACCTCCGCAAACTAACACGCCTTAATAAGTAAGTCAATCACCAAAGCACAACATCGAATGAGGATTGAAATAGGCAATAGGGAGTGATGACGCCACTTGCCGCCAGTGTGTCCGACAAATCGTCGAATCCGATGCTTCCCTCGAGCCCAGTTTTTGCGAACTTGGTAACGCCACTTGAACTTTTGAAACCACTAAAAAAAGCCCTCAAAGTAATTGCAACAACTGATACGCCATGTCAGCCACAGCCACCCATTGAGACAAACGACCCACATCCACTCCATCGGAGGACACAGTGCCGATGTTATTGTTCTTGCTACCGATGCTGTTGCTGCTGTCGCTGCCGCTGCTGCTGCTGCTGCTGCTGGTGGTGGTGGTGCTGACAACAGCCGCGGTGGCGGCATCAGCCGTAACATTGGACATGGTGGTGGTGTCGGAAGGGGAGGGTAGGTTAGGAAAGAAGAAGTTGGCATT